TATTACGCTGGGAACCCAACCTATCTCCAAAACACCCTACAGAATGGCCCCAGCCGAACTTAAAGAACTGAAACTGCAATTACAAGAATTGTTGGGTAAGGGATTTATTAGGCCGAGTACTTCACCATGGGGAGCACCCGTTTTGTTTGTTAAGAAAAAGGATGGCACACTTCATCTTTGTATCGACTACCGAGAACTGAACAAGGTGACCATTAAGAACAAGTATCCGTTGCCGAGGATCGATGATTTGCTTGACCAACTACAAGGGGCATGAGTCTTTTCTAAGATTGACCTCAGGTCGGGCTACCACCAGCTGAAGGTTAAGGCCGAGGATGTCGAGAAGACTGCTTTCCGGACAAGGTATGGCCACTACGAATTTTTGGTAATGCCTTTCGGTGTGACCAATGCTCCTGCAGCATTCATGGATTTAATGAATAGGGTCTTCAAGCCGTACCTAGACGAGTTCGTGGTTGTTTTCATCAACGACATATTGATCTATTCCAAGAATGAAGTTGAGCATGAGAAGCACTTGGGGCTAGCCTTACAAGTCCTAAGAGACAAGAAATTATATGCCAAGCTTAGCAAGTGTGAATTTTGGCTCTCCAGTATCTCGTTCTTAGGGCATTTGATTAACAAAGAAGGTATTTCAGTCGATCCAAGTAACATTGAAGCCGTTGTGAATTGGCCGACACCGACTAATGTATCCGAGATTCGTAGTTTTCTGGGTTTGGCCGGCTATTACAGGAAATTTGTGAAGGATTTTTCAAGGATTGCAGTACCGCTGACACAACTAACTCAGAAAAGAGTGGCGTACAAATGGACCGAGGATAGGGAGTCCGCCTTCCAAGAGTTAAAGACGAGGTTGGTTACAGTGCCAATACTTGCTTTACCGTCAGACAAGGAAGAATATCAGATTTACAGTGATGCTTCACATAAGGGATTGGGTTGTGTGTTAATGCAAGGAGGTAAGGTTATAGCATACGCATCTCGTCAGTTAAAACCCAATGAAAAGAATTATCCTACCCATGATTTGGAACTGGCAGCCGTGGTCTTTGCTTTAAAGATATGGCGTCATTACTTGTATGGAACTTCTTGCCAAGTTTTCACAGACCACAAAAGTCTGAAGTACTTGTTCACTCAAAAGGAATTGAATATGAGACAGAGAAGATGGCTCGAACTGTTAAAGGACTACGACATGCAGATTCAGTACCATCCGGGTAAGGCAAACTCCGTGGCCGACGCGTTGAGCAGGAACTTAGTCGGGAATTTGGCGTGCCTGGCAATGATTTCAATAGAACCGACCATAATTGAGGAAGTGAAGACCGGGCAAATGGAGGATAAGTTCCTCAAGAAGGTAATTGATGAATTCGTCACCAAGCCAAGGCCAGGGTACACCATTGAAAATCGAGTGCTTAAGTTTGAAGGGAGATTGTGCGTGGCCGACGTCCCATAGTTGAAAAGGAAAATTTTGCAGGAGGCCCATAGCTCCAAATTTGCCGTTCATCCGGGAAGCACCAAGATGTACCAAGATGTGAAGCGGACTTTCTGGTGGTCAAATATGAAAAGAGAAATAGCCGAGTTTGTATCCCAGTGTCTATGTTGTCAGCAAGTGAAAGCAGAGCACCAGAGGCCAGCAGGACTTCTTCAACCCTTGTCAATCCCTGAGTGGAAATGGGAACATATCTCCATGGATTTTGTGATTGGTTTGCCGAGGACGCAAAAAGGTATGAACTCAATTTGGGTTATAGTTGACAGATTTACTAAGTCAGCGCACTTTTTGCCTGTCAAGACTACATTCAATGCCGACCAGCTTGCTGGACTGTATATGAATGAGATTGTAAAGCTTCATAGAGTGCCGATGTCCATAGTGTCAGACCGAGATTCGAAGTTTGTTTCTAGATTTTGGCAGAGTTTACAAAGGGCTTTGGGAACCGAGTTGAAGTTTAGCACATCATTTCATCCCCAGACCGATGGACAAACAGAAAGAATGATTCAGACACTCGAAGATATGCTCAGACTATGTGTGTTAGATTTCAAGGGAAATTGGGAAGTATACCTACCGTTAGTAGAATTCGCCAACAACAATAGTTATCAAGCCAGCATTGGCATGGCACCGTACGAAGCCTTGTATGGAAGGAAGTGCAGGTCGCCGATATGTTGGATTGAAGTGGGAGATAAAGCCCTGATTGGTCCCGAACTGGTTCGAGTTACAACCAAGAAGATTAACCTCATTCAACAAAGGATTAAAACCGCGTAGAGCCGGAAGAAGAGTTATGCCGACCAGAGAAGGAGGGAATTAGAATTTGAGACTGGAGATCATGTATTTTTGAAGATTTCGCCGACGACAGGGGTTTCAAGATTTGGGAAGAAGGGTAAATTAGCACCTCGATATGTTGGGCCATTTGAAATTCTCGAGAAGATCAACCCTGTTGCCTATAGGCTTGCCCTACCGCCAAAATTAAGCCAAGTCCACAACGTGTTTCATGTTTCGATGTTGAGGAAATATATCCGTGATCCACTGCATGTGATTGATTATTCTGAGATTCTGGTTAATGAAGATTTAGGCTACGAGGAAAAGCCGCTGAGAATTATTGACAGGCAAGAACGGCAGTTGAGAAACAAATCGATACCAATGGTAAAGATCGAATGGGAGGGACATTATGGCAAGGAGGCTACATGGGAAAAGGAAGAGGAAATAAAAATCCGTTATCCGGAGTTATTTGTAGAGCAAGATAACTGAAGTTTGGAGACCAAACTTCTCTAAGGAGGGTAGACTGTAGTGACCCTCATTCCTCACCTTAGCCTCGGGCATGAGCATTTGTATAATCTTGTTTTGCTAAGTTGCGGTAATGAATTTTCTTGACTTGTCTTAACTAGAATAAGATTTTGTCTTGGTTTGTACTTATGTAAAATTTACTTGTTGAGTCTTGTTCTTTCTGGTGAGTCTAGCCGAGGTCACCTTAAAGCCAGAACCACTTCGAAACCACTTTGGTTGACCTCTACCTTCGTCCTGGCATATTGGCCGAGATGTCATTTTCTAGGCCGAGGTGTATCATCAAGGTCGAAAGGTGTATCATCTGGGTCGAGATGTTACCCTTGAACCCAAGCGATCTTGTTCCGGATTGGTGCGACCTAGACCGAGGTGTGGCACATCTAGGCCGAGGTGTGGTACATCTAGGCCAAGTGTTGTCCGTCCTAGCCGGGATCATAGACACCTCACCTACCGGAGCCGGTGTTTTCACCCGATGTCAGTACCTTGTCAGAATGCCATACTGTTTTACTTGTTAAACACCCTTTCGCCATACTTTGTCTGGTTTGTCAGCCACCTTTTCGGGAAGAACCAACCAGCCATCGCCACGTGTCCGAGCTGAGTGTTAAATCAGCCGGCAGTGAGTAGGACCTATCATTTTGTATCATATCTTTGCCTTGAGAGAGAGAAGCTCTAGAGGGAAGAAGGAGTTTTAGAGTGAAGGAGTGGGTCTTCCAGCTTGATTCTTAGAGATCTAACCGTTAGATTCGTGTATTAAGGACTTGGACTCTCGCTTGACCCCGACGTTGAAGAACTAGGTGAGTGGTATTTTTGATAAAGCTACGTTATAAAGTTTTGATGAAGTTTTGCTTTGTTTTGAAAAGTATTTGCTAAGCATGAATGACTATCCCTATTTGTGTATCAAGTATTAGCTTTGATCTTGAAATCTTGAAAGTCCGTACGTGCTAGGGGACTATAAGCATTTGTAGCACAATCTTGAAAGTCCGTACGTGCTAGGGGACTATAAGCATTTGTAGCACAATCTTGAAAGTCCGCACGTGCTAGGGGACTATAAGCATTTGTAGCACAATCTTTGTTAATGTCACCCATCAAACTTGAAAAACTTTGATTGCTGAAGCTCGATAGATTTGTTAGATGGACTCGATTTATTCCACGTTTGTCATAAGCTATGATTATGTACGGTTTTGTTAAAGATCTCGGATGTCATACATGCAACCCCTTTATTACTTGTACCATTCACTGAGTATCCAAGCTCACCCTCTCTATATATATATGTAGGTGATGAGCAGGAAGGTGGTGACGCCTAGGTGTGACTCGCAAGCTTGTTTTGGGTTTTGTTATGTCGGCCTAACTTGTATTCATGTCGGCAGTCTTGAAAATTATGCTTCTCGGCTTATAATGCTTGTAATTCACATATGTCGGCTGGAGAAGCTTTTTGATCAAGATGTAAAATGTATTTTGTACCTTATTGTATTTGTATCCAAGTTGTAATATTATGTAAAGTTGTATGCCATTCCATGTAACTTACGCACTGCTCTTATGGACTAATTAAATTTGTATATTTTGCTTCCGTACGTTTGAGCCCCCTATGTTTATACTCTGATTGTGTTGAATTTTGAAAGTTGGCCTTCAGTAATCTAGGATTACTGGCCATCACGGCACTAAACTACTAGGGGCGGTTTGGGGTCGTGACACAGTTAAAGGTAGAGGTCAAATTGATCTAAAATTGAATAGTTTAGGTGTAAAATTAATATAATTAAAAGGACATTAGTTAAATTGATTATTAAGTGATAGTTTGAGCAAAATGAAATTTCTTTAAAACTTCAACAAAACAACCAAAAAAAAAAGTGTCTAAAGTAGTTATTTCTAGATTTCGACACCGACTTTTTTTTTCTATTTTTCAGTATAATATTTGGTCTGTTCAACATTCATGTAGCTAGGTTCTTTCCAAAAACTTCCCCAAAGCTAAAGATCAAAGATAAGGGGATTAGTTTTTCTTCACTAATTAAGACACAAAGAACTTAACCTCAGCGTGTGGAACGGACTCAAGTCGACCATCATTTTACCTTAAAAAAAATTACATATATGGGACCTAATTACGAAGACTTCCAAGTTCAAAGTCTATATAGCATGAATAATATGGGAACCAGTAGAAAAATTGTGTATAAATTAGAGCCTTTAACACCCATTAGTCAAAAGAAAAAAAGAAAAAAAAGAAAAAAGAAAGGCAATGGGACCTTTAGAGAAACTATTCTGCCTTTTTTCCTTAGTCCTGTTTGTTGCACTCTTTTCTTCAACCATTAATGTTGCTTCTGCTTCTGCTGAAGAAGCTAATGCTATCCTCACAAGGAAAGCCAGCCTGCAAAGTGCAGATGATTCCCTGCTAACTTCATGGGTCCTTCCAGTCCATGATAGTGGCTCAACAAATGCCAGTCCCTGCAATTGGTTTGGAGTTTCTTTCAACCTTGATAGAAGCGTCCTTAGATTGAACCTCACAAGTTCAAGTGTAAATGGTACGCCTAACAACTTTTCATTTTCATTGTTTCCCAATCTTGCATATATTGAGCTTAGCATCAATAAATTCTTTGGTGTTCTCCAAACTCATCTATCTTGATTTATCCACCAACCAATTCTTAAGAAACATCCCCTCGAAAATCTGCCTGCTAACAAATCTTGAAACTCTCCACTTGTTCGATAATCAGTTGAACGGCTCAATTCCTCAAATGAGCTTGTTTTGTACACCAATAGTCTTTTAGGTCCCATTCCTACTTCTTTATCCAATTTGAGAAACTTGACTCGTCCATATCTCTATGGAAATGATCTTTATGGTTCCATTCCTCCTGAAATGGGAAACCTAGTCAATCTTGTTAAGCTCTACACGGATGGCAACAATCTCACAGGTCTTATTCCTTCCACATTGGAAAACTTGAATAACCTAACTGTGTTGCACTTCTTCAACAATTCCCTATCTGGTTCCATTCCCCAAAAGATAGGACAGTTGAAATCACTCCAGAGCCTAACCTTTCAAACCAACAATCTTACTGGCTCAATCCCAACATCTTTAGGTGATTTGAGCTCCCTAGCTCGACTATACCTCTGGAATAATCAACTCTTTGGTCCAATTCCTAAAGAATTACGGAACTTGAAGTCCATCATTTATCTGGAATTGAGTTCAAATCAACTTAGTGGTCCCATTCAAGCTTCCTTAAGTGATTTGACCAATTTAGAAATTCTAAACCTCCATTCCAACCGATTATCCAACCGCATTCCATAGGAATTTGACAATTTGAAAAGATTGGTTGGGCTGGTAATGGATGAAAATCAATTTTCTGGCAATCTTCCAGAGCTTTGCCAAGGTGGTAAACTTCATTACTTCACAATGCACCACAATCAGCACACAAGTACAATCCCTAAAAGTCTGAGAAATGCTCAAGCTTAGCCACGGCTCGCTTTGAGGGAAACCAACTTATTGGAAATATATTTGAAGATTTTGGCACTAGTCCAAACCTAGTCTACCTAGATCTGAGTAACAATAATTTTTGTGGTGAATTCTCAGAAAATTGGGGAATATTTCCAAATTTGACACTCATAAAAATAGCAAGAAATAACATCACTGGTGGTATTCCACTAGGGTTTGGAAAGTTAACACGGCTAGAACAACTTGATTTATCTTCAAATCGTTTCATTGGGGAGATCCCAAAGGAATTTGGAAAGTTGACTTCTTTGGAGTGGCTAATTTTGGCTGAAAATCAGCTGTCGGGTTGGATACCTCAAAAACTCAAATCACTAACTAAGTTGTCAAAACTTGATCTATCCACAAACAAATTTAGTGGGCCAATACTAGGTATTTTGGAGAACCATTGAAATATGTTTTACTTGAATCTGAGCAACAACATGTTCAACCAAAAAATTCCATTATAGATTGGTAAGTTATTTCAACTAACCGAGATGGATCTAAGTAGTAACATTCTCGTAGAGGAAATACCATCGAAAATCACAAATTTGCAGAGCTTGGAGAAGTTGAACCACTCCTACAATATTCCAAAGAGTTTTGAAGATATGCATGGCTTGGCGCTATGAAGCACGAACACGGACATGGACATGCGGACACGCAAAATTTTAAAAAACAGGAGACACGACACGTTGGGGACACGTTTAATATATATAATTTAATTTATTTATATAACACTTAAAAAAAATTTAAAAAATATACATTTCACTACTTCAACATCAACTGCCATATTAAAGAATAAAAAATTTCCTATGAAATTACAATAGCAATATAATTAATGAACACATTGAATCAAATAATAAAATTAATAAACACATTCAATAAATTAATTTTTCTAACAAATAAAAGTAAGTAGTTCTATATATATGTTCAACATTAAACAAACAAGAATATCCCAAAAAATAGAAAAAATAGAAAGAAAAAAAAGGGAAAAAAGAGGGGTTAAGATATAAATAAATAAATAAAGATTTTTTTTTAAAAAAAAAAGAAGTTTTAATCTCTCGTAAGAGAGAAGAAAAAGAAATAAAAAATAAAAAAATAAAAAGAATTTTTAATCTCTCAAAAAGAGAATAAAATATATATATATAAACACAAATCATAAATATATATATATATATATTGTAGGTTTAGAGAAGAGAAAGTGATAGGGATTGAGTTAGACCTCATCCCTTTTTATATTGATAATAATAAGTAATTACAGCAGTGCCATAAGGCATAATGTATGGGTCGGCCCATTACATCAACAGAGAGAGATAGAGTGACGAGCTGCGAAACAGCGAGAGAGCGAGAGAGAGAGAGAAAGAGCCGAAAGACACAGGTAGAGAGATGAACTGCGAATTGCAAAAGACACATAGCTCGATCTGTTCTTCAACTAGTTCTTCACCAGTTCAGGTTCTTCTTCACCCTCTTTCGCTTCTCTCTCTGTCCTCTCTTCTCTGTTCTTCTCTTCTCCTTCGATTCTCTTCTCTCTTCGTTTTCTGTTTTTGTTTTTTATAGTTTGGCCCCATTTGGAAGTTTCAGAAATTAGGTTTTGTACCCCGCAGTGTCCGAAACGTGTCCGAGCGTGTCCAAAACATGTCCGGCTGCAAAAAAATTCAAAAAAAAAGGACACCTTAGGGAGAGTGTTGGACACGTGTCTACAGCATGTCCGACGCGTGTCCGACACTGATACGCAAGCCCTGGAGAGGTGTCCGTGCTTCATAGGCTTGGCGTATGTTGGTATATCATACAATGAGTTGCAAGGTTCTATTCTCATGAGCAACACTTTCATGAATGCATCAATAGAAGCACTGTAAGGGAACAAAGATCTATGTGGAAATGTCACAGGCTTGTAGCCTTGCAAAATTCCTTCTGCATTGGATACACACACTCTAGACAAAAGGGCACTTGTTCTTATAATTGTGCTCCCTCTGGGTGGAGTGCTCTTTCTTCTAGGTGCATTCATCGGACTTCTCGTCGTCTTATATCACAAGTTAAAGAGGGTCACACCCAACCCTCGAGTGAAGATTTGTTATTGATATCAATATTCGATGGAAGAGCAATACCAAGAATTTCAATGCTAAATATTGCATTGGAAAAGGAGGATATGGAACTGTCTACAAAGCGAAGTTACCGTCAGCTAGCTGTGAAGAAACTTCATCCGTTATCCGAGAGGGCTGATTAGAAAGATTTCTTAAATGAGGTAAGAACATTGACAGAAATTAAGTATCGAAACATAGTGAAGCTTTTTGGGTTTTGTTCACATGTTCGACACTTTTTTCCAGTTTATGAGTACCTTGAAAGAGGTAGTTTGGCTGCAATTTTCAACAAAGATGACGAAGCTAAAGAATTGGATTTGCCTAAGAGGGTGAATATTATTAAGGGTGTAGCAAGCGCTTTGTCATACATGCACCATGATTGCACACTGGCCATTGTTCGCCGAGACATTTCCAGCAACAATGTCTTGATTGATGAGGAGTACGAGGCTCGTGTTTCAGACTTTGGCACTATCAAGCTTTTGAAGCTAGATTCCTCTAACTGGAGTGCATTTGCAAGCACATACAGCTATGTTGCAGAAGGTAAACAAAGTTTTAAGATCTCCTAAATTGATATAGAATCTGAAGTGTAACAAAACAAGTGCATGATCATGCCTTTTTTTTTTTTTTTTTGCAAAGCTTGCTTGCACAATGAATGAAGGTAACTCAAAAGTGTGACGTTTATAGCTTTGGTGTGTTGGCACTGAGAGTGATCAAAGGAAAGCATCCAGGAGACTTTTTGATAAATAAATAAAATTTATTGAAAAAGTATAAAGATGATGCAAAGAATATAAAAATCCCAAATATGGGGAAGCTAAAACTCCTGACTAAGAACCTTATCCAAAAAATCTATGAAAATAAATAAACCCAGATCCACTCTTTTCTCCAACCAACTACACAAAGTAAGCAACAATCAATTCTCAAGCCATGACACTGAATGGCCAATCTCTTAAAATGTGCGCCAATTCCTCTCCAACCAAACCAACCACCTCAAACAAAACGGCACCACCAACCAATTTCGCCGATGTCGACGCCCAACCCGAGCACCCCACCAACTCCACAACAGCTCCAACACCCTCCATTGGCTGCACCCAAACAATCCCAAACAAAGACCAAACCAACCCCTAGAGCCGTGATGCTACATCACAATGAAGAAGCAAATGATCCACTGACTCTGCATCTGCACAACACATACAATATCGATTCACTAGGACATGTCCTCAACAAACCAAGTTGTCAATAGTCATGTTCTTTCCCAAGGTAACCGTCCACAAAAAGAACACTACCTTAGACGGAATACCTAGCACCCAAATGCTCCTCCAAGGAAATACCCTGTCATCGCCCCCACCAAACTCGGATAAAAGGACAAAACAAAAAATTGTCCTTTAATACCAGACACCTCCCACACAACCACATCCTCCCCTCTACCCACTGGGCCCAACCCATATAAGAACCCCAACATCTCCTCCAATTGAGCAACTTCCCAATCCTGAACTGGTCACTGCAATTGAATATTGTGGGTATCTATACTATACTTGGCACGTGGAGAGCCCTACGGGTGTCACGTCAACACCACTACACATCCACGTGGTAGACCTCTGAGGCACCACGATGAGTCGAGACTGTATGCCTAGCCTAAGCGGGGGCATGCACACCACTAAGTATGAAATAAGGCCACATGGAGCCGGCTCACTTAGAACTCGTCATGGCCCTTCATAGCCCTTCATAACTCAAGAAATATATTCTTTACCCACTCACCCCAACTCCATAGCAACATAGCCGGACTCTTGGCCCACTTATGTTCGGCTCACCTATGTTTACTTAGCTACTGAGATGAGCCCTTGGCTCACCCATGCATTCACCCTCTTGACTGCCTAGGTCGGGAGCAGGACCTAGGCACTCCAGCTTGGGATCATTGGAGGATTGTGGATTAGAGGCTAAGATCTCAGGATCGTCAAGGTCGTGTAAGTATCTCCCTGTAGTGATAGCTCCCCCTTTGACCTGGCTTAGAAAAAGAGACGTTGACCTTACACTTACATCTATGCACATATGATATGCCTCTCAAGATATCATACCTACCCCTGCAGTTCCTATGATGCAACCTTCCCGAGGACTTGAATCATAAGACACAGCTAATAGGGCTGATATCACCCTCCTATCGAGTTGAGGAGAACTTGCCACCTGTCTTGAGGTTGCTTGGGCTCTAATACTCCTGGAGTCTATATAACGGCATCATAAGTGCAGCCACAAACACACAGCAAGAGCGATAAGAATCACATAACATACATTAAGTGTTCAAGGTCTCTCACTACCACCTCTTTCCTCTCTAAGCTTGCCTTGGTCTTCTCCTCTTCTGTCTTCGGTGATCTCAAGTTATTGAAGTGCCTACCATCTACCCAGAGGTCAACGACCAATCGCCTCTAATCTTTATCACTCACAAATATCCCAGACCACCACCTCTCCATTCCCTAAACAATCCGCAACAATCAACTCCTGATCCGCCGCAATCCTGAAAAGCAATGGAAAAGTACCTCCAACATCACATCCCCACACCGCCTATCCTTCCAAAATATAATCCTCTCCCCATTCTGAGAGACTTCATGACCTCCTTGTTAACCCCAACTATTGGGAACATACAGTTAAAGGATGTGTTGGATCAACACCTTTCGCCTCCCTTCCCTGAAGTTGAAGAGGTAGTGATGTGCAGTGTAAAATATGCAATTGCATGTTTGTATGTCAATCCACAATCTAGGCCAACCATGCACATTGTTTCTCAATTGTTATCCACCCGAAAAATTCCGTAGAGCCTCACCTATGTGCACAGAATTGCTGCCCATAAAATGCACATAATTGATCGCTTTCTATTCTGCATATTTTTCTGTGCACTAATTTTGTGCACTTGGCAAAACTCAACTGATAGTGCAAAGCTATTTTGTTTGGTTAGGATATGTTAGATATTAGATAAAATCTATGCAGCACGGACATGTCCTTGGACGTTGCGTATAGGTGTCATACACATGTCGGACACACGCCGAACACGCTCCGAACATGTGTCGGACACACTGGAAAGAGTTGGATACGCTGGGACACTTCGGACACGCTACAAACACGTTGGGGCACGGTGAGGACACGCTAGGGACACTCTAAGGACACGCTGAGTACTATTTTTTTTTTTAAATTACAATTTTAATTTTTTTTTAATAAAATAGCATACCTAAGGTTGATAAATTTGGTAAAATTAAATATTTGACATAAAATACATATCAAATATTTAAAAATATATATATATAATAAAAATATAAAAAATTATGTTTTGAACGTGTCCCCAAAGTGTCATGTCCTACATATTTTTAAAAATTACGTGTCCGCATGGCCGTGTCATGTCACGTGCCCGTGGTGCTTCTTAGGATAAAATCCAATCCTCTCTAGTATCTACTAAATATACATTTTATATAGAGGTTTTTATTGTAAAAATAAATATTGAGTGAAAATTAATGAAAAGAGAGATGCAGCATTGGGGCTTTTGTGTGCTGTGGGTGTATGGTAGTAGCGAAACCACACACACATGATGTGGCTTCTCTCTTTATTGTCATCTTATTTATTTTATTTTGCTTTGTTTTATTTTATTTTTCTTGAATATAAACCTTGTAGAACCAAAAATTGTTGGATTCTTTTATATTGATTTGAAAAGGCAATGTTGCTAGGATGCTATTTTCCATTGAATAAATTACCAAAATGGTTCAAATTTGATGTTGGTGGTGGTGAGTTTGGGGTGGTGATTCTGGTTTTGATGGTTATTTGAGATTTGGTAAATAGGAAGGGAGGTGGTTGTTGGTGGAGAAAGAGGCAGTGGTTTATGAGGGAAGCTGTAAAAGAAAGGGGAGAGGGAAAGAAATCAACATGTTACAAATAACATCATAAATTTCATCTGATGACATACTGCAAATTTGTTAAACTAGACACATATCTAAATCGCTAGTACATGGTATGGTTTATGAGTGATTACTAATATATTTGTCCTAAGCCTCCAGTATGGTCACTATAAATCTAAATCTCTATTTTTTATTTGTTTTTGTTTTGTTTCGGATTGTGAATCTTTAGTAAATGAATTTTAACAAATTGTATTTAATATAAAGATTGAAGATTGTAATGAGCTTAATAGTAGAAACAGCTATAACAATACACAAGTATTCTTATATCATCTTCTAAAAGGAAATTTGATATTCTTCTTTTCCATTTATGAGGGATCTCAAAAATCAATTGTAAAATTAATCTCAAAGCTTTTGACAGTAAACCCTAAAATTGGGAGAACCAAATGATTAATTTCAAACAGGTAGAGATTTATCACAAGAATCATGTTGTTGTTACCTAGCAATGAGGTTGAGATTCTGAAAGTCGGCTCCGTAATTGATGAATTGTTGACAAGCAGCTCATTAGAGTTCCTCAGGATTAGGTGAACGAATCAATGAATATTGATGATGTATGTGAGTGTTCTCTCTCTTCTACGGCTAAGAGCATCCCAAAAATAGTACCCTATTAGGGCGTCCACAATGGGATGGCTAAAAAAGTGTATTAATGTGTGTGTTATATGACAAAAAGTAATAAAAGTGAGGCTCAAAAATATTTGTTAAGATGTGTTAAGAGTTTGTTAATTTTAGAGAGTGAGTGGTGGTGCAATGGATGTATTAAGGTGTGTGTTAAATATATATATATATATATATGTGTGTGTGTGTGTGTATATAATAAATAAAATAAATAAATAATTTAGTTTAATCAAAAATTTCAAGTCCAAAATTAAATTTCAAGTCCAAAAAAAAAAATCCCAACAAGTATAAAAAAAAAAAAAAAATTTGCCATTGACTGGTCAACCGGCCGGACATCCGGCAGGTCAACCGGTAACACAAACAAACGCACTCCTTCACTAGCTAAAACGCTAGCTGCAGATAACAAACAAATTAACACACACCACTAACACACACGCTAACAGCTCTATTGCAGCCCCAAACAATACCCTCAGTTAGTCAAAATTTAGCACCTGACACTAACACACTGGTTAGTGTGTTCATTGTGGATGCTTTTATCAATTTTTAGCTATTTTAAGGGGTGAAAATTCAAAAATTCATTCCCAGCAGCCTTTTCTTTTTTCTTTTTTTTTTTTGGAAGGTGGGTGAAAAGTGAATTTTTAGTTTTTTAATCTATTTTAAGTCATATCATTTCTCAAATTTTTTATTTCCCAAAACACGCTTTCCTAATGTTCATTCCCTAAACATATAACCCTTTTTTCTCTTTACTCTCTCTAATCTAATACTATGATGTAACAACATCTTTGCCAGCTTACTTATATTTTATTCTAAAATATTATTAAAAAAATTATTTTTTATTTTATGAATAACTTTTTCATCTATTTCCCCTAACAGATTTCATGTTTTTTTTTTCTCTATTCTAATAAAATATTATTTTTAATTATTTTATATTTTTTAAGATGGAGATGCATAAGAACCAATGATGGTTGAATAAAAAATAATTTTATATTTTTGGGTGGT